GCTAGGACTACACAGAAAAACCTGTCTAAAACAAGGGAGGGGGAGGAGGGAAGGAGGAAGCAATAAAAGAAGAAAGGAAGGAAGGAAGAAAGGAAGGAAAGAAGGGAAAGAGAAAAGAAAAAATTGGTTTTAATTTAATTTAATTGCATTGGCTTCTAGTCTTGTTGCCTTAGTCAATCCTTCAATTATAATTAAATAAGATTTTTGGTCAGGAGGTGGTGGCACACACCTTTAATTCCAGCACTCCAGAGGCAGAGGCAGGCGGATCCTTGTGAGTTTGAGGCCAGCAAGGTACAAAAACAGGCCTGAGCTCTCTGACCTTTGGTCAAAGTGCAACAAATCCACATTCATGGGTTCCCACAGAAGCCAAAAGAGGGGATCCAATTCTGTAGGACTGGAGTTACAGGTGACAACGAGCTTCCCAGTATGGGTTCTGGGAACCGAACTGGGGTCCTGTTGGAGATCAAGAAGTGCCCTGGAGCCATCTCTCCAGGCCCTACAAGTTAAGTGTTTAACTTGTAGGAAGATAGTGAGTTCATCAAAGGCACGAAAGAAAGCCAATGTTAACTCAAGATTATTACAACAGAAGAGAAGAGAAAATCCAGTCTGCGGGTGGTTAAGGTTCAGTTCAGCACATTGTCTCGCTGCCATGGCCCACCTGGTCCTTCCGCACTTTCCTATAAAGGCCTTGGAGCTTCTGGGTTCCCTATAAGGAACCTGAAAGGATGGTAGTTCTCTGCCATCTTCTTGGTTTGCAGCCTTTCCTAATGAATGCTTCTCCTTCCCTAGCAACCTGTCCCACTCCCCGGATTTTTGGATGGAAAATGAAAGAATTCAGTAGCCCAGGCTGGTGGTGTGGGCCTGTGCTCTCCTGCTCTGAAAGCTAAGGCAGGGGAATTGCAAGCTCAGTGCTTGCCTGAGCTACAGAGTGAGGTCAAGGGCACCCTGCGCAACTAGGTAAAGCCCTTTCTCAAGATAAAAAATGAAGAGGGTTGGAGAGACAGCTTGGTGGGAGAGTGCTTGCCCATATACACAAGGCCATTTTGCTCCGTATGCATAAGGGCTTAGGTTCAATCCTTAGTAAGGAGAAAACTACAAGAAGGCTGATTTAGCACCATCTGTCTACAAAGGAAACAGTTCCTAGAAGCAGAGGGAATTGTTTCTGAAGACATAGTACGCTCCTTACTGAAAGAACTGAAGATCGAAGCAGGGAGTCAAGGTCATGACAGGGAAACCCACAGAGACAGCCGACCTGAGCTCGTGGGAGCTCACCTCTGAGGAGCCTGCATGGGACTGACCTAGGCCTCTGCACGTGTGCGACAGTTGTGTGACTTCATCTGTTTGTGGGGTTCCCGGCAGTGGGATCAGAACCTGACCAGCGCTTCAGCTGGGTTTGGGAACCCAATCCCCACGCTGGGTTGCCACATCCAACCTTGATGCAGGGGAGGAGTTTCTGCCTCAACTTGACGTGCTTTGCTGTGTTGACTCCCATGGGAGGCCTGCCCCCTTCTGAATGGAGACAGAGGAGGAGGAGGTGGGTAGAAGAAAGGTGGGGAGAGAGAACAGGAGGAGAAAAGAGAGGGGAAACTGTGGTCGGTATGTAAAATAAATGAAAAAAAAAAGAATCGAATTCTTTATTTGGCTACTGTTCTACCTATGGTGGTGAGTACTCCTCTCACCCTACCCACCCTGACCCAACCCCTCCACTCCTACACGATAGAAAATAAGACAGGGAAACCCAACTATCCCATTGACTGTGCTGTATTTCCCAGGCCTAGAGCAGTACCTGGTACACAAGGGCTCAGTCAGCACTGACTGAACAGTCTGAGAGGGCTCTTGCTTTGAGGCATAGGCAGAGTCAGGGGCCTTACTGGTTTCCTTCAGCACAGCAATTCTGTGAATCTGCCTGTTGAGAACACCACAAGCACCTGTCACTCTGAGCCAGCAGCTGCTTTGCAGAGCAAGGAGAAATGATGTTAACTAGGAAGATGGGGAGGGGGAGGGACAGGGAGCTGAGTGAGCAGCGAAAGCATCTCAGCCGAGAAAGGAAGCCACTGCTAATGGGGTGTGACAGACAGCTAATGGGGCGTGGAGGCATCCTGGTGACAGCGAGCCAGGACAAAGGGGGCAGCCATGCAGAGCAGTGCTGGATTTGACCAAGGGAGTCACTGAAGCAGCACGGTGGTGGGCTCAGGACTGGGGTGGCTCCTGAAGGGGGCAGAATTAAAATCTGAAAACAGACAGCTTCCAAATGAAATTGCTGGGTGTGCTGACATTTAGGGGTTAGCAGATTTTGAAACCCTAGAGGCAGAGGAAGAGACAAAGAGAACGTACCTCCTTATTTTAAACAAAGGAGCCCCAAGAGATACCACACTTCTGAATCCCAGGTTTTCCTGGAACCGAGGGGGGAAACTTTGACTGCTCAGCCTGCAGCGTCCACGCAGAAGACAGGTGGCACCCTGTCATCCCCACTGGGCATAACTGCCGCATGTCCCCCGTGACCTTCTCACTTGATCCCCTGCCTCGGTCTGCTCAGTGGCCACATTCAATATTTTTTTTTCTGTTAAAAAATATATTGGGTGGCCGGGTGATGGTGGTGCACGCCTTTAATCCCAGCACTCGGGAGGCAGAGGCAGGCGGATCTCTGTGAGTTCGAAACCAGCCTGGTCTACAAGAGCAAGTTCCAGGACAGGCTCCAAAGCCACAGAGAAAACCTGTCTCGAAAAACCAATATATATATATATATATATATATATATATATATATATATATAGTAGGGGAGAAGGAGGTTTAGCTCCAAGGAGGAACGATGCGCAAGCCCCATGGCTGGGCTTCAACAGGCAAAAGAACAAACAACATATATCACTTTATCATTGGGATCAGAGAACAAGAAACTATATTTTTCTGAAATGATTCTTCAGCACTTCTGCCTAAATTCTTTTTAGGGGACCGTGGAGATGTCACAGAAGGTAAGGGTACTAATTTCTGTGCAAGCGTGGAAATCTGAGTCAGATCCCCAGAACACACTGGCTTGTAAGCCCAGAGTTAGACGGTGCTGGATGGAGATGGCAGGGGGGTTGCTGTGTCTCTCATCAGGTAAAAGGGAGCAAGCTCTGGTTCAGTGAGAGACCCTGTCTCAAGGGAATAAGGTTGAGAATGATTGAGAAGGGCATTCAACATCCTGCTCTGATTTCCACGCATGCACACACACACACACACACACACACACACAAATTTACTTTTCAAAAAAGGTTACAATGGTACCATTTTTTAAATGTGTTCATAAGCACACAACTGGCATAAACAGAAGGATAATGGAGCCCTTGGCCAACTACCCAAAGATAGCCAGAGAGTTTTAGTACTTCCTTTACACGGGTTGGTTAGGCGCTATCGGCAACTTAGAGAGGGATCTGCTCTAAAGAGAGGTTAGAGAAGGGCAGGGAGGTGGAGGGACCAGGAGGAGATGAGGTTCTCCCAGAGGTGCAGTCTTGCTGGTCGGAGAGACCCAAGGAGAGAAGCAATGGTTAATTCTACTCCTAACTCTCTGCATGAGTTTTAAGTGGTGGCTCCAGCCCCTGCCTCTTGAAACACAAACAAATGGTTTATGGCTTGCTACCTGGAAAGGGAGAATAGAACACCCCCACAAACTTACAAATGCCATTATTCTTGGAGTAAGAACAATGACCTAACATAGTCCCTACATCTGCCAAATTCACAAGTCACAAATAAGAAACAGAGAGTGGACAAGGCTAAGAGGATAAAGGTGCTTGTTGCTAAGCTTGATGTCCTCCCTTCGACTCCTGAGACTCATGCAAGGAGAGAAGTGACTCCTGCAGTTTGTCTTCTGACAACAACAGTCATTACACACACACACACACACGATAGATAGATAGATGATAGATAGATAGATAGATAGATAGATAGATAGATAGATAGATAGATGATAGATAGATAATAGATAGATGATAGATATTTGATAGATATGGACAAACAGATAGATAATAGATAGATGATAAATAGTAGATAAATGATAGATAGATAGATAGATATAGATAAATAGACAGATAGATGATAGATAGTAGATAGATAGTAGATAGATAGATAGATAGATAGACAGACAGACAGACAGAAGATAGAAGGATAGAAGGGCTGGGCATGGTATCACATGCCTTTAATCCCAGCACTCCAGAGGCAGAGGCAGGTGTGTCTTTGAGTTCTGGGTCAACCTAGTGTACATAGTTCCAAGACAGCCTTGTCTAAAAATAAAAAAAAAAAGGAAAGAAAAGAGAAAAAGAAAGAAAAGCAATAATAATAATTAAAACAGAATGTGAGTAATAAATTATTCATTGGAACCAACTTAGAGCAGAGATGTTTCGTGCTGAAGGCAGGTTCTCAAACATAAACCTAGAGATGAATCTTGCAAGAAACACGCAACAATTCATCTTTTTTTTTCCCTCTATGTAGCCCAGAATGAAACGGATTAGATCTCAAATCTAGGGAAGGGTACTTCTTTCTTTCATTTCTGGGTGGGGCACAGAGGAGGTAAGAGTGGGCCTAAATCTATTTCTTTTTAATCATTCATTATTTAGGCTCTGAGGACAGCTGCAACTGTATGTCCTCTCCGGACCCACACCCTCTCTTAGACTCCCTCCCTGAAGATGAGGAGATCTGGGACCTGGATGTCTGTCTTCCCTTCAACTAACCTAAGCCTTTCCCACTTCCTAGCCCCCTGCACACTGCAGCAGGAGCCCAGACAGACGGACGTCTGCTGTAGAAGGACACAGCGCGGGCCCAGACCTGCAGCCTTTCTCTACACAGATGCCCTGGAGATTTAATTTTAATTAACGGTGAGACCTATGGCCCCAGGATTGGATTTTCAGAACAGAGAACATCCTCCCCATTTCTTTTCTTTCTCACTCTCTCTTTTCAATCCCCTCTCCTTTTCCCCAATGTCATCAATATTTAAAAATAAATATGAAAAATCGAACGAGGAGTCTCACCCACACTTGCACTGGGACCCAGGAGGGAGGCGGGAGGCGGAGGATGCAGAGGGCTGCAGGCCAGGAGCGGTCCAGCTCTGGGAGGACGCCGAGTGCGTCGCGAAGGCGGAGCCTGGGCGGGACCACGCGGATACAGAGGCAGGGTCTGTTCAGTCACGTGGGCGCGGAGCCCTAGTGCCCTGCTCCCGTTAGGGAGCCAAAGGTCTGTCTGTCTGCGGAACGCTGTGACAGACGTTCTGCCGCAATGGGGTCTTGGATTAAGGGTCAGAGCTGCCTAGCGGCCGGGCTGCTGCAGAACCAAGTGGCCGTGGTTACCGGCGGGGCCACGGGCATCGGAAAAGCCATCTCCCGGGAGCTCCTGCACCTGGGTACGTGAGCAGGTCTCTGGAGCTGGGCACCCAGAGCTAGGGTCCACCGGGGTCTAGCTCGGGTAAACTGGGTTCAGAAACAGAAGTGGGCGCTGTTGGGGCAGGAGAGAGGTTGTTAAGCTAAGAGTTGCAGCGCTTGATGAAAGGGAGGCGTTCTTCCCAAGAGCCGGAAATGTTGGTAGATGAGGCACGAAGTGTGAAATAAAGGACCTTAGAACCAAAGATTACTGCGCCCGAAGTAGGAAATAACCAGACCTGTGAGAACGTGCTGTGGAATTGTGTCTTTGTAAAGGTAATGCATTCAGAATGATTCCTAATTCCAGACACACACACACACACACACACACAATAAATACATGTCGTAAAAATCAATGTGTTTTATGTTTCAAAATTACTAAAAGACTTTTTTCTGGGTTTGGGATTGTAGGGGTTTTAGTTTTGGGTCTTTTGGATTTAGTGCTGAGAATTGCACCCAGAGCTTGGTTCTTGTTCAGCTCGTTCTAGCACCGAGACACATCCCCAGAACTCTTTTTTTTAATTTTTTGTCTGGCCTTGAGCTCATTCTGTAGCCAAGGCAGCTCTTGAACTTTGACCTCCTGCCTCAGACTCCTGAGTAGCTGGAATTGCAGGCCTTCAACACCAGGATTGGTTTAAGAATAGACTTTTACATATCCTTAACACAAAGAAATTGTAAGTATGGAAGGAGATGTGTTAATTAGTCTGATTTTAATCACTGTATAGTATATAAATACCAAAACATCAAAAATGTACTTATAAGCGTACAATTATTTGTCAATTAAATGCATAAGACCAGCTGTAGTGAGTGACTCCTTTAATCTCAGCCCTCCAGAAAGAAGCAGAGGATATCCATGAGTTTCGGACCAGCTGAGGCTACATAGTGAGACCCTGTCTCAAAAGGAGAAAAAAGAAAAGGAATGGTCCCAAGAATTGCTTTAGTGTGAAGCTGGTTGGTTGTCATTTTTTCTTAAACATGTTCAGCCTTGAGTTTAACCATTCTCCCTGTTTATGCTGACAAGTTGCATCCACCAGTGTCTTCTGGCTGCATGTCTCTCAAAGGTGTTAGCATGCCCACATCTGCTAACCCCCTTGGCTTTTGTTCTGAAGTCACCTCCATTGTTCCCAGTTTCCACTTCTTTGTTTGTTTTGCTTTCATCACATTGGCCAACATGGTTTAATCATTCACTTTTGCAAAAGGTCACAGAATTTATCGCTGTAAGATGAGGAAACAGCACAGCTAAATTCTGTACCATCTGTGTCTGAACTGAAGAACAGATGGGTGGGAATCAGTTACTGAAAGACCTGAAGAGAGTCTAGCCATCTCTAGAGCCATACCAGCCTGATGTGCCTGACCTTGGAAGCTAAGCAAGGGCCTTGCCCAGTTAGTACTTGGAAGGGGAGAAATAACTAGTCACTAATCACGAGAGACCCTGTCTCAAGAAAGTAGGCTGGTGCTCATTATATGTATTTTGTTTTGTTTTGTTTTGTTTTGTGTTTTCAAGATAGGGTTTCTCTGTGTAGTCCTGGCTGTCCTGGAACTCACTCAGTAGACCAGGCTGGTCTTGAATTCAGAAACCTTCCTGCCTCTGCCTCCCAGAGTACTGGAATTAAGCCACCACTGCCTAGCTGATTTCTACATATATATATATATATATATATATATATATATATATATATAATTTATTATGTATACAATATTCTGTCTGTGTGTATGTCTGCAGGCCAGAAGAGGGCACCAGACCTCATTACAGATGGTTGTGAGCCACCATGTGGTTACTGGGAATTGAACTCAGGACCTTTGGAAGAGCAGGCAATGCTCTTAACCACTGAGCCATCTCTCCTCTACAAATATATTTAAATCCCACAATATATTGTTAATTTTTGGCCTTCCCATGACCCTTTAAGTCAATCTGAATGGAAAGAAAGTGTGTATATTCACAAAATTACCATTTCCAGTTCTTCTGATTGGTGTAGTCTTTGATAAGTTTGTTCAGGTAAGTAATGAATTTTAGTCATTTCTAACCCCCATTGTTCTCTCTCATCTCCCCCCTCTCCTGAAAGCCTTGTCTTTGAAATAGATTTACCCCCTACTTTGATGTGTGTGTGTGTATGTGTGTGTGTGTGTGAGACCTATTGAGTTTAATTGTTATTGCTTGATGAGCATGGGTTGGGGGCTTTTTATTAACATATGGGCAACTTACCGGTGGCTACACCACTGAAGAAAATTGCTCCGCCTCCCTCAGCCACCATTGACTTGCCATAGTACACCAGGAAGGGGTAAGGCCTCATGAGCACTTCTTCCAACCCTGATACAATGTTGATGGGCTCAGTCTTGTGCAGGTCTCTGTGGGGCAGCCACAGTTGCAGGGAGTTCCTGATTGGATCCGTCCTAGACTTACAGCTTAATGTGCCATTGTCCTTCTACTTGAAGGACATCTTTGGACTGACTGGTTGGTTTTTTTTTTTTTTTCAATGAGGGACTGCTCTGATGATGTCTTCTCATTTGATGTGTGTGGCTTTTGCTGTCGATCCCGAAAGGATGTCTCTGTTTGTTATTTGTATTTTTGTTGTCTTAGCACTTTGCTTATTCCACTGTCTTCTGCCTTGCTCTGTTCTGGAAAAAAAGCTCTCAGCCTTTGTTCTTATTGTTACTCTGGGTGTCATGCATTGTTTTCCTCTGTTTTGAAGATTTCTCTCTTCATCATTAGTTTTTTAAAAAAATTTATTTTTATTTTAAACTATGTACGTGTGTGTGTGTGTGTGTGTGTGTGTGCACGCGCCTGTGAGTACAGGTGCTCTTACGAGGCCAAAAAAGGGCATCGTATCCCTTGAAGCTAAGGTTTTGAGTGGTTATGTACCACCCAACATAGGTGCTGGGGAACTGAACTTGGGTCCTTTAAAAGAGCTGCAAGTGCTCTTAGCCCTTGAAATATCGTCTCTATAGCCCCATCGGTGGTTTCTTTAGGCATATCATCAGTGTCGTTTCTGGAGTGGTTTCTATTAGTTGACATCTCTCTTTTTTTTTTATAAATATTTATTTATTTATTATGTATACAATATTCTGTCTGTGTGTATGTCTGCAGGCCAGAAGAGGACACCAGACCTCATTACAGATGGTTGTGAGCCACCATGTGGTTGCTGGGAATTGAACTCAGGACCTTTGGAAGAGCAGGCAGTGCTCTTAACCACTGAGCCATCTCTCCAGCCCCTGACATCTCTCTTTATGGGTTTGCTGGATACTGACCGATTTGAGCCTTATTGCTGCTGGCTATTTTTATAGTCTTATAAATGTTTTTGAGCTTCCCTTCCCCACCTTTGCCCCTCATTGGCATGCAGCTTGGTTACTTAGAAATAGTTTAATACTTCCAAAGAGTATTCTAAAATTACGAGTTGATCCTGGCAGTCTCTCTTGGCTAGTGTTGCTTCACTGCCAAAGTTACACTTTTCACCCAGTGAAAGATTTTTTTTTTAGTGGTCAGCAAAAAAATCCTTCCCTGGATTCCCTCCCTGGCTCATTTCAAAGAGTCCTTTCCCCAGCCTGCTTCTGCCCTCCCATGCACTGATCGCACTGACCTGGACGAGATTCAACCAGGACTGTAAAATCTCGTCACCTTTGGTCTCCCTATAACCCGTGTGGCCAGCTGCCTAGCCTCCTGGGAATCCCAGCGTCACTTTTACCACTCCCAGGGACTTCGGGGCTGAGAATGGATCTATTCTGTGCTGCAGTCTGGAAGCTCTCTCTTCAGACGGTAATGATATGCACAGTCTGGGGGTCTTGACTGGGTTAGTTCTCTCTACCAACTAAAAAATTTTAAAGGCAGGAAAATCTCAAGTGTGGCCGATAGCAGCAGAGACATCTCGCCTACCACATGCAGCAAACACAGAGAAAACGGCTCGGCAGAGCCGAGAGGGAACTCAGGAAGCCAAATGTTCCAGTCTCTTCTTGAGGGCTAGAGTTCTTTAAATCTCTGAAGAATTTTTTCTCCCCTAAAGTAGAGTTGGGTCAGTCTGAAAAAAGATAGGATGATTGATTGGCCCTAACTGTTGAGTAGCATGCCCTGACTCTGGTGTAAACCCGATGACCCAATCCATCAGTGGGGGCCTGATGGCAGGAGAAAAGGCCCACAAGGCCTTTGTTTTAAACTGCCAGGCTTTAGTCTCAAGTCAGGAGGGTGAGGAAGAAGCCAGCCAAAGTTCACTACCTTTATTGCCTCACCATGGTCCTCTTATTTGTCTGTCTGTCTACCATGGAGTCTGCCTAACTCCTGGTCTTACAGTAATATGCTTTATTCACAGGTCTCTCTTACACTGCTCTCTCTCAGAGGTGGCTGCTCATTTTTAGTTCTATGACACTTGATATTCAGTATTTCAAAATCATTGTTTCCTGTGTTTATTCTCGTGTGTGTGTGTGTGTGTGTGTGTGTGTGTGTGTGTGTAGGTTATCATCTAGCTTCTCAGTCATTTCAGGCTAGAGGGTAAATTCAGTTCCTGTTGTTACATCTTACCAAAACCCATTCTGATTCCTCTTCCACCCCACCGTCTTTTACAGGAATACACAAAATAGTGGATAGCTCCATACCCTCTCCCCAGGTGGGGTTTCTCTGTGTAGCCCCAGATATGCTGGAACTCACTCTGTAGACCAGGCTAGCCTCAAACTCGCAAAGATCCACCTGCCTCTGCCTCTCAAGTACT